GAATATGTCAAGTCTAGTCCTTGTCCATGTGAAGGGCATACACTATGCATTGGACATAAGCACCAGGAAACAGTGAAACCATGGAAGAAAATTTCTTCTCTATAGTTCAGGTACCATGGGTTTTTCTTCTGTGGTTTCAATGTGTCTTGGTGCTTATGTTGAAAGCATAGTGTATGGCCTTCACATGGACCTGAACTATAGACAAAAAATTTTGATTTCCTTCATTTTCCCATTTGGCAAAGATATGTCTTAAAGATTTTACATAGAATACTATGATCACTCTCCTGAGTGGGCTAAGGTTTGTGTGCAAAGGTCAATCTCTGTGCACATTTTTCCTATTTACAAAAATGTACCAGATGACAAGTAGAATAGAATGTTATTATAAGAATTGTACCCAAGGCACACAAAGACACAGCTAAGAAAGAGAACCACAGATCAATATCCCTCATGAACATTGATGCAAAAAATATACAATAAAATACTGGCAAATCAAATCCAAGAATGTATCAGAAAACCATCCACCATGGTCAAATAGGATTCATCCCAGGGATGCAGGGATGGTTGAACATACGAAAATCCATCAATGTAATCCACCATAAGAACAAACTGAGAAAGAAAAATCACATGATCATCTCACTAGATGCTGAAAAAGCTTTGAAAAAATGCCTTCAGACAGAGGTCTTGGAGAAACCAGGAATAACAGGAACCCACCTAAACATAATAAAAGCAATATACAGTAAACCAATAGCCAACATCAAACTAAATGGACAGAAATAAAAGGCAATTCCTCTAAAATCAGGAGTAAGATAAAGCTGTCCACTCTCTCCATACCTGTTCAATACTGTACTTGAAGTTCTAGCTAGAGCAATTGGACAACAAATGGAGATCAAGGGGATACAAATTGGAAAAGAAGTCAAACTTTCACTATTTGCAGATGATATGATAGTTTACTTAAGTGACCTGAAAAACTTTACCAGGGAACTCCTACAGCTGATAAACACCTTCAGCAAAGTGGCAGGATACAAGATTAACAACAACAACAACAAAAGTAGCCCTACTATATATCACAAACAACATAAAATACCTTGGGGTAATGCTAACCAGACAAGTGAAAGACCTGTATAACAAGAACTTTGAGACTTTAAAGAAAGAAATTAAACAAGATACCAGGAAATGGAAAGATCTCCCATGCTCTTGAATAGGTAGGATCAACATAGTAAAAATGGCAATCTTGCCAAAAGCAATCCACAGATTCAATGCAATCCCCATCAAAATCCCAACACAATTCTTCACAGACCTTGAAAGAACAATACTCAACTTTATATGGAAAAACAAAAGACCCAGGATAGGCAAAAGAACCCTTTACAATAAAGGAACATCTGGAGGCATTACCATCCCTGACTTCAAGCACTGTTATAGTCCTGAAAACAGCTTAGTACTGGAACAAAAATAGACAGGCCAATTGAAATTGAAAACCCTGATTTTTTTCCAACCTTTTTTATTTGAATTAGAAACAGGATTGTTTTACATGACAATCCCAGTTCCCTTCTCTCACCTGTCCTTCCTTATCCCCCCCAACTAAAACCTTATCTGTCATATATCTTTTCTGCTCCCCCTGGATGGCAAGGCCTTCCATAGGGTGTCATCAGAGTCTTTCATATCCTTTGGGATAGGGCCTAGTCCCACCCCCATTTGTCTTGGCTCAGGGAGTATTCCTCTATATGGAATGGGCTCCCAAAGTCCACACCTGTGCTAGGTATAAATACTGGGCTTCTACAGGAGGTCCCATAGATTTCTGAGGTTTCTTCACAGAAACCCATGTTCCTGGAGTCTGGAGCAGTCCCATGCTGGTATTCCAGCTATCAGACTGGAGAGCAAGAGTTCCCGGATGTTCAGGTCAGCTGTTTCTGTGTGTTTCACCAGAATGGTCTGGACCTCTGTGCTCTTCACTGGTCCTTCTCTGCATCTGGGTTCCAGTTCAGATCGGTAATTAGGAAAATCCTGATATTAACCCACACACTTACGAACATCTGATTTTTGACAAAGAAGCTAAAATTATACAATGGAAAAAAGAAAGCATCTTTAACAAATGGTGCTGGCATAACTGGATGCTGGCATGTAGAAGACTGTAGATAGATACATATCTATCGCCATGAACAAAACTTAAGTCCAAAAGGAAGACCTCAACATAAATCCAGCCACATTAAACCTCTTAGAAGAGAAGGTACGTGATACCCTCGAATGAACTGGTACAGGAGACAATTTCCTGAACATCACGCCAGTAGCACAGACACTGAGATCAACAATTAACAAATGAGACCTCCTGAAACTGAGAAGCTTTTGTAAGGCAAAGGACACCGTCAACAAAACAAAACGGCAGCCCACAGAATGGGAAAAGATATTCACCAGTCCCACATGTGATAGAGGGTTGATTTCTAAAATATACAAAGAACTCAAGAATCTAGCCACCAAAACACCAAACAATCTAATTAAAAAGTGGGTACAGAACTAAATAGAGAATTCTCAATAGAGGAATCTAAAATGGCTGAAAGACACATAAGAAAGTGCTCAACATCCTTAGCCAACAGGGAAATGCAAATCAAAACAACTCTGAGACACCATCTCACTCCTGTCATAATGTCTAAAATCAAAAACACCAATGCCAGTTTATGCTGGAGAGGATGTGGAGAAAGGGGCATACTCCTCCACTACTGGTGGGAGTGCCTACTGGTACAGCTACTTTGGTAATCAATATGATGGTTCCTCAGGAAAATGGGAATCATTCTACCACAAGATCCAGCAATTTCACTCTTAGGCATATACCCAAAAGATGCATAATCATACAACAAGGACATCTGTTCAACCATGTTCATAGCAGCATTATTTGTAATAACCAGAACCTGGAAACAACTTAGATGCCCCTCAACTGAAGAATGGATGTGGTACATTAACAAAATGGAGTACTACTCAACAGAAAAGGAAAAAAAAAAAACAATGAAATCTTGAAATTCGCAGGCAAACGAACGAATGGAACTAGAAGAAACCATTCTGAGTGAGGTAACCCAGTCACAAGAAGACAAAAATGGAATGTACTCACTCATATATGGATTTTAGACTTAGAGCAAAGGATTACCAGCTTACAGTCCACACCACCAGAGAAGTTAGGTAACAAGGAGGGCCCTAAGAGAGACATGCATGGTTCCCCAAAGAAGGAGAAAGGGACAAGATCTCCTGAGCTAACTGGGAGCATGGGGGAAGAGAGAGGGAGTTAGAAGAAAGAGAGGGGAGAAGAGGAGGGGAGAGGAGGACATGAGAGAGCAATAAGATTTAGTCAAGGGAAGAACTGAGGAGAGTAAGAAAAGAGATACCACAATACAGGGAGCCATTATAGGTTTAAAGATAAATCTGGCACGAGGGAAATGTCCAGAGACCTACCAGTTTGACCCCAACTAACAATCTAAGCAGTCATTAAGAGGCTACCTTAAATACCCTTCCCCTATAATGAGATTGATGACTACCTTATATGCCATCCTAGAGCCTTCAAACAGTAGCTGATGGAAGCAGAGGCAGACAACCACAGCTAAACACTGAGCTGAACTCTGGAATCTAGTTACAGAGAGGGAGGAGTGATGAGCAAAGGGTTAGGACGAGACTGGAGAAACCCATGGGGACAGATGACCTGAACAAGGGGATGCTTATAGACCCCAGACTGATAGCTGGGAAACCAGCATAGGACTGTTCCAGACCTTCTAGGTGAGGATGCCTGTTTGGAGGTCTGGAAATCTATGGGGCCTCTGGTAGTGAATCAGTATTTATCTCTAGTGTACGAATGGACTTTGGGAGCCCACTCCACATAGAAGGATACTCTCTCAGCCTAGACACATGGGGGAGGGCCTAAGCCCTGCTCCAAATGATATGACAGACTTTGAAGATCCCCATGGACGGCCTCACACCTGGGTAGCAGAAAGGGATTGGGATGGGGGGTGGGGAGCAAGGGAGGAGGGGAGGGTGAGGGAACTGGGATGGACATGTGAAAGTAGCTTGTTTCTAATAAAAAATTTAAAAACAATTGTGTCAAATGCTGCAATTAATTGAAAAGAAAAGGGCATTATTCACTATCTTGGCATTTTACATGACATCAATAGGATGTGTCATGTGTAGGTATCACATAATAATCAACACAGCACTTGATTATGATGCCAAGACTCAGTGTCTCTCCACAGAAACCATGCCTGAGATCTCTGTGTCTGCACATAACACTCCAAGACCACCCTACGCCCCAGAGACACCATCAGTGAGGCTCAACCTAACCACACTGCAACAATTTATACTTTTGCTGATCATGTAAGTGCCACTGCGGTTGAGGATCATTTCTACCAATGACAACTTACATAAGAATCACATTGTCTAGAATCACATTGTCGATAGAAGCAGAAGCAGACACAGCTAAACACTGAGCTGAACTCTGGAATCCAATTGCATAAAGGAAGGAGTGATAAGTAAAGGGGTCAAGACCAGGCTGGAGAAACTCACAGAACCAGCTAACATGAACAAGGAGGAACTCATAGACCCCAGACTGATAGTTGGGAAACCAGCATAGGACTGTTCCAGACCCCCTGAAGGAGGAAGTCAGTTTGGAGGTCTGAACAATTTATGGGGCCATTGGTAGTGGATCAGTATTTACCCCTAGTACACAAATGACTTTGGGAGCCCTCTCCTCATAGAGGGATACTCTCACAGCCTAGACACACTGCTCCAAATGATATGACAGACTTTGAAGATCCACCAAGGAAGGCCTCACTCTCCCTAGGGAGCAGAAAGGGGTTGGCATAGTGGGGTCAGTGGAGGGCAGGGGAGGAGAGGAGGGAGAGGGAACTGAGATTAACATGTAAAAGAAGTTTGTTTCTAATTTAAATTAAAAAAATAATCACATTGTCAAGCTCAACTCCATTTTTATCATCATGACCTTGAAGAAATAGAAACACCAACAGGAAACTTACCACCCCACCACCAGCTGAGTGCACGAGCACAGACATCCCTTCCCGGAGGTTGGCAATCTCAAACAGCATCGTGTATGCTGTGACGAAGTTCATGGGGAAGGCAGCGGCCTCAGGGAAACTCATGTCATCTGGGATCTTGTAGACAAACTCCACTGGTGTACAGACCACCTCAGCCCAGGCATTGTAGTTGACAAATGCCATGACACGGTCCCCAATCTGGGAATAAGGAAATAGAAAGTTAAAGGAAGCTTGTTTCTTGATGGGGTTCTAACAAGGGCCAGACTTATCAGGAGCTATCCATGATACATAGCATACACAGTGTTTCTCTTACATAATAGGCATAGGTTGTTTCTCCTAATTCATACACTGTGACTGCCATAGAAATCCTTCTGATTTTCATATTTGTTCTTTGATGTAAAAAGCACATTTTTATATATTTTCGGTAAAATCTCAAGTAAACTGCTATAAATCATATGATTATTTAGGTTTCTTAACAACCTATCTTCCCTGCTAGTGTGTCTTCTTCACAGCCACGAAGGTGGGAAACTCATTCTGTCACTAGAATAATTCTATTCCTTCTCCTCCTCCACCTCTTCCCTTATTTCTCTTCATTCTAATTAAACAGTCTCATGTTTTCTAGGATGGCCTAAAATTTCTTATGTAGCTGAAGATGCTGGTGTTTTAGGTATGCACCAGCATGTCTGCTTTTATATAGTGTTGGGTACTTGAGCCCAGGACCTCTTGCATGCTAGGTAAGCATTCTACTAATTGAGCTATATCCTCATTTTCTGTCAATAGAATTCTGAAGACTGTTTAGGTGGTAGAAGCTTGAAGAGTATCTGTACACCTGATAAGGGTAGGACGATGCACATCCTTCCTCTCTCCTTCTCAAATTGCCATTCACCTGAATCCTGTGCCCTTCCTTTAAGGCTTATTTTAGCTCTCATAGTCAAGTGCCCTTGGACTTACACGTTGGATTTGGCTGGGAATGATTTTATCTTCATGAGAGGTTGTTGTATTTGCACACTTGATTGTAACAGAAAAACCCATTTATTGGACAAAAACAATTATATACTGAACTCTAACCTTCTTATTACATCAGTTATTTAGTCTCCAGGACTGCTTTCTGGGGTAGTAGTCCCACTATGCACATATTGAAACTGAAGGTATATTATGTCTCTGACCTGAGGTCACACAACACAGGTAAAGGGCTGTGTGTATTGTGTGTGTGTGTGTGTGTGTGTGTGTGTGTGTGTGTGTGAATTTCCATAATATCACAGTGCTCTCCTGCCATGATTGTTTATGTAAGCCCCTTCTCAGTCTCGAATTCCAAGCATAGGTGATATAATGGTAACGAGTTACAATTCATACTCTTAAATTGTTCATATTCTTTGAAAAGTTGCAGGTGGCAAATACTTTGAGTGGCAGGTCTTAGGAAGCAACTTCACCTGGAAGGAATATTTTAGTAGAAAATAAACTCTTAAGCTGATGGTATGAGCATGGTGATGTTTCAGACACTGGTCTAGAGGAGTGAAGATTTTTGTGTGTAGAGGGTTGATGTGGTCCAAGAGATTTCATAGTAGTCTGCTTCTTAGAACCAGTTAGTTCTGTGTATTAGGGGATAAGATTGCTATAACTTCAGTGTGCGGATGTCACAGTGTCTATAAAGACTTTCCTGAGCCGGGCGTCGGTGGCACATGCCTTTAATCCCAGCACTTGGGAGGCAGAAGCAGGCAGATTTCTGTGGGTTCAAGGCCAGCCTGTTCTACAGAACAAGTGCCAGGATAGGCTCCAAAGCTACCCAGAGAAACCATGTCTTGAAAAACAAAAAGAAAGAAAGAAAGAAAGAAAGAAAGAAAGAAAGAAAGAAAGAAAGAAAGACAGACAGACTTTCCTGGCTATCCTGGAACCTATCAGATCTGGGTTAAGAGGAGCTCAATTAGATAACACATGTGAGGACCACATCTGTAGTGTTCTAAGAGAACCTGCACATCTCTGTTCTTGTGTCAGGGCATCCCACCTATAGCTGACAGAGTTCCATTCAGGAGAGAGATCTGAGTCACTGAACCCTGGTATGCCTTATCAGCAATAGGAACAATGCAAAGCCTGGTCTGCTTGGTCTGAGAGAGCAATCAATCACCATGTTGATCTGATGGCTGGGCACAGAGGAGTAGCTGCTACTTACATCTTTCCTTTTTGCTGGAGGTGAAAAATGGCTTAGACATAAACATGTGCTCCTGTGCCTGGGTCCTCTCTGGGTTAGGCAGTGAGGAGTCCTTGCTCAGACTTATCTGTGGCTCTGGTTTAAACTTGCTTTCTTTTTTTCTCTGCTCTCAAGTCTGTATGTAATCCTGGACTCACTGAATACTGGATAGAAGTAGTCCTCCACTTTGATGGACATACTTCATGTTTTAAATTTAAACAAAAATACATTTTATAACTTTTGATGGGTTTCTGAAATTAGGATGTGATGGAAATTAAAGTTTCCTTTCCATTAAACAAAACCTAGCATCTCCAAAGATGCATATCCATATCTACCTCCCTATTTCAAGACATTTTTGATCCTTTACAACGAATGTATTAAAATCTTCCAGAGGCCATGGAGCCCAGGTGCTAATAGCCCTCCCTCCTCCTTGAATGACACATCATGTACTGTCAGTGACAAGATATCTTCTAACTCAGTTGTTATTTAACTACTCTAATTTAGTGATGAGGGAATCAGATAAAGCAGGGTAGTTAAAATTCTGCTAAAACTTCCCTGATCCCTGAGGACAGGACTCAGAGTCCAGATCACTCTCATTTATTTATTTTATGCCTAGATAGACTCCTTTCCAGTCTAGTTCATTGTATTTGTGTCCATCAAAATCGGTGAAATATGCCTTTAATCCCTGTACTCAGGAGGCAGAGGCAGGTGGATCTCTGTGAGTCTGAGACCAACCTAGTCTATAAGAGCTAGTTCCAGAACAGGCTCCAAAGCCACAGAGAAACCCTATCTCAAAAAACCAGAAAAAAAAAATCCTAGGATTATTAATCCTAGTGGACATGAACCTTGGCAGGTAAGAGGTTCACAAAAAACCTTCAGGCATGAACTGAACAAGAGAAACATGGCTTAGAATGAAACAGGAGAGTGCATTGATGGGATAAGTGGTACATAATGTTTACTGGACTGTAGCACACAGAGGCATTTTGCTATATGCTTCAGGTGGTTTGATTCATGTAAGCTTTGGCAAAAAAATGAGAAGGCACAGCCAGACACTGCATTCTCATCAATAGTTGGCCTGGGCAAACATTATGAAAAAAAGAGGGAAAAAAGCTACCTTTTTAAAATGACAAGGTTTTTTTTTGATTAGCAGATCATTATTAAAGATAAATGGAAATAACAGAAGAAACACTAATGGTTCATGAGCCATCATGTGCTAGGTAAATTAAAACATTCATGAATCTGAAATATTAGTTCCTTTTATTACAGTCTTTAAATGTAATAACAAATTTCTATGGCCAGTGTCAACTCCCAAGAATTAATGGCTTTTCTAAAGAAATGGTTCCTTTTTATATATATTTATTATAATTGATTTTCTACTATTTTACTTTCCCTTGCAGCTTGGTGTTTGCTTCCTATCCTTATCAAACAATAGCAACAACTCCTTTAAGATGGGTTCTGTCATAGACCTCCAGTACAAATGAATGACCATAAATATTTATCTTCATTTAAAGGAACCCAAAGAAACATGGAGCTGGAGAGTGGCAGCATCTTGATACTTCAACTCCAAATACAAACAAGTAACCCATTGTACTTGAGGTAAGTGCTATGATGAAAACATACTGTGTAGAAGTACACCACAGGGAAATCTGTGATGCAGAATCTTTAAGTCCCTTTCCTTATCTCTGAAATGGATACTGTGTTCATGATGCAATGTGGATCCAGTGCACTTAGCAACATGCATGGAAACCCAGGAAAGAGCAACATGTGTACCTGTTTTACATCGAATAAACTGGTTCCAAAGCTCAGGGATTCACAGATCAGTGATCCACTGGTAAGCACAGACCTGCTCCACTACACGAAGCAAAAGGAATTGCTTCCCAATGAAGAAACTGAGAGAGGAAAGAAAGGCTGTCCCGCTGGCAGTGACTGCTAAGTGTTGTCTTTGATGCAAGCATTTGGACAAGATCACCCAGCACTGGCCTCTTCCTCACAGAACTGTGAAAACTGAGCTCAGAACGCCAGAGTAGGTAATGGCCTCTAGTATCCACAGAGTGACATGAATTGAGTGTTTCAATGTGCTTCACATTGCAAGTGTCTCAGGTCTCTCACTAAATTTCAGTATATCAGTTGTTCATTTATTTCCTTCTCAAAATGGCAAATGTGATTAGGCAACGGCGTCAGCACACACATATATACTTGCATACATGTGAAATATATATCTGTATTTATCCAGTTGGTGCATTATAGTAAGCAAAATAAATCTGCTCTGAGGCCATGAGCCCAAAACATCTTTTACTGATGGTCTCTGAACACAACTTTCCAATCCTTTGCTACTGATAAAACCTAGAGAGCCATGGAGCATGTTGCTGTGTAGAATTCGTCTCCAATATGATTACTAATCTGAAGTCAATTCCACACAGAGGATATTAGTGTTGACTTTCTCCTGTACAGTATACTATACAGAAACATACAAGGGACTTTTTAAAACTGTGTGCAACTGGAAATCATTGGCAGAAGAGAGGGGTTGCCATGAAGGCTTGATATTGCTGTCAAGTCAGGGCTAACTAAAAGAAGATAAGCCATATCTAAAGGACAAATGCATTTAATTGAGTATGGTAAGCTATCCCTCTAAACCAAGACCATAACATTTCTGTTTATTGGCATTTATTCATTGCTCAGGGCTAGCAGAATGAGAAAGTGAGGTTTTCCTTTGGGGCCATGTGGAGGAGTGGAGAACAAACAGATCCATTTATGTGCAGCACTTCCAGAAAGAGAGATGTGTGCCTTGGTGACAATGTCTACTGGGGACAGAGAATGTGAAGTTGTATTTTAAAATCCAAAGTTCATCTCTTCCTCTTTTCTGTAGCTTTCTTCTCCTATGTTATTTGGAAACCATTGACAGAAGCATCACTAAATGGGATAGGATTCCCAGGCATTCCCCAACATGAATTTAGAATATTCAATACTTTCAGGTGAGGACCAGCCATATGCTGAAAGTCAAGCAGAAGAGAAGGTTGGTGTTGGATTTCACAGGGTTCATCTTCACTCCTCATTCCTTGCATGTATTTTTGTAGCATTGGGGGTGAGGGTGGGAACATGGGTAAAGGCCATGGGATTCTAGGAACTGTATTATGGCTTTGGTGACTTAAATCTGGGATCTACTTCTACTTTCTACCTTCTAGTCTCACAGAGAATTATTGCACCTTCTGAACCTGGTGGAATAGTAAGAACCTTCTCTCTCTCTCTCTCTCTCTCTCTCTCTCTCTCTCTCTCTGTGTGTGTGTGTGTGTGTGTGTGTGTGTGTGTGTGTGTGAGTGTTCATTGTGGTTAAAGAAAAAAAGACTGCTCTACAAAGCTGGTTATGGTGTGTTCTCAGATGTCAGTCCCCCTGCCTTTCTACGGAGATCTGTTATGAGTGAGAACCCTGAATTTAATTTCTAGTGAGTTTTCAGATGACAAACTCCCAATTTTTATATAACTGATGTTGTTTCAATGTTTCATTAGAGAGAGAGAGAGAGAGAGAGAGAGAAAGAGAGAGAGTGTGTGTGTGTGTGTGTGCCACAACAGTTGTGTGCAAGTCAGAGGACAACTTGCAGCTCTCTCTTCCAACCTTGTGTGTTATAGGGATTGAACTAAAATCATCAGGCTTGGTGGCAAGCACCTTTATCCCAAAGCTGCCTTGCCAGGCCCAGTGCTTCAGTTTTTATAGACCAAGTAGTATTTAGTTTGTATTAGAACATGGGAAGACTCAGGCACACATCAGGTTTTCAAAATAAAATATTTTATTGTGGAGAATTCCTCATGTGTATTATAGCAGAATAAGGAAATAAAGCACTTAAATGTTGCCCTCTTCCCAAGGCCATTAATCATCCCTCACCAATCCTATCCTATTGTCAGGGTGAGGTTCCTTGACTCAAACTATTTCTTTTAATATAAAATCCTATTTTATCCATTCCTAAAATAGCTCAGGAATTGCAAATAGTAACTTAAAAGGTACCAACTAGGTAAATACTTTATAATTAACTCCCCTTACATTTGTGTTTTGTAGTTGATTGCTAAGCCTGAGATGGTGGAAAATAGTAGCTGGGGCTGGAGCAAGAGACTATGCATTCCGTTACTACAAAACTGAAAAGTCTGAATAGCTATATTAAGTAAGTATGAAAAAAGAATATAACAAGACTTGTTCAGCCCACTTATCCAAACTGTTGCCAGGGGCAACAAAGATAGTATATGAAAAAATTTCTTAAAAAAATAAGCAAACAAATAAAGTCATAAGATTTTTTGCAAAGTCCTATCATAACAGATATGGTTAATGTTATCTAACTCAAAATGACAAAATAAAACACGACTGCTATTATTTCAAATATCTCTTACATAGTCTTAGCATCTCATAGATTCTAGATGATTACTGCTCTTTATGTCATACTTAAAACTTTACCTCGTATCCTTTCACGCTGTCCCCTAGAGCTTCAACAATCCCAGAACACTCAAATCCTGGCACCAAGGGTGTCTTAGGAGGGTTGTCAATGTTCCCTTGTCGAACCATCAGGTCAATGAAGTTCAAGCCACTGTAAACAGCAAGCAGAAAGAAAGAGATTCAAAATGAGATCCCCTCAAAACACCACTCTGGCATTTCCTTCCCTGGCCCTGTCGTCTGTCTTCTCCCTCCTTTCCTCTCCTTCCTTTTGGAAAAACAAATTCTTCTTGCCAAAGTGTCCCTAATAGTAATGCCACTTAGCTAGATATCAGCAATAAAACAAAATTCAATTATCTCTTTGCGGATAAGTAATGCTTTCCTGGCAGTGAGGATAGCTGCAGTTCACATTCTAACTCAGCCCCCTTTATCCCCCCTCAAAGTCTGTTCACCCTTATTCTGAAAACACATATTGACTAGATTGATCACTAGGCATTCTAGCCCTTAATCCCAGGGAAAAAATATACTAGAGAGTGGCTATAAGCAGATGCATAGAAAGCAGCCAGACACAATGGCTACCCGTTGATCTATGAGACAGAAAGAGAAAGGAGACCTAATTTAAAAGGGCTCAATGCAACCAACCATCTCTCTTTGATCATCACACATATTTATGCCAGCACTGTGCATAAGTAGCACCCACAATAGTAAATGGGAGCCATCAAGAGACTGTATTAGTTCTTAAGGGAGTAAGGTGGCTCAGAAAACAGACATCAAAAGATGGCCCCAGGGGTGTGAGAATACAACATCTTAGTCATGTCTGAATGACAGAAGTGTCTCAGTGAGGGTTTCTATTGCTGTGACCAAAAAGCAAGTTGGATAGGAAAGGTTTTATTTGGCTTACACTTCTGCATGGCTGTTTATCATTGAAGTAAGTCAGAACAGGAACTCAAACAGGACAGTCCTTGAGGCAGGGCTGATGCAGAGGCCATGGAGGGGAGCTGATACTGGCTTGCTTCCCATGACTGGCTTAGCCCACCTTCTTATAGAACCCAGAACCAACAGCACAGGATGTCACAACAGCTCATGGGCTGGGCCCTCTGCCCTTCATCACTAAATGAGAAAATGCCTTACAGATGGATCTCAAGGAGGCATTTCCTCAACTGAGGCTCCTTCCTCTGATAACTCTAGCTTGTGTCAAGTTGACACACAAAACTACCCAGTACAAGAAGTTACAGGGTATTTTCTGTTAACTCATTACTTTTAAAAGGAGACAGTCATGAAAATTATGTGTAAGTCATTGCCACAGGAAATAATATGCTCAATTTCATGGATGCCATCAATGTATCCAATGGCTTTGTCCATGTTGGTTTAAATTTAGAGTTTCATTTAGCTTCATTTGCTAACTGCATGGAGGAACATATTTCATTGAAAGCACATCTTTCATCAAGAGATGCAGTTCTTACAAGCTTCTCATTTTTGTTAGCTACCATCTAAAAAACAAACGTTTCCATCTAACCCAAGGTCAGTTAGCATCTGGCCAAGTGAAACAGCTTGAACTATTTTGAACACAGCAAGGCCTCTTTGAAAGCAAAAGAACATCTAATTCTGCCTGTGTCTCCTGCTCTCACTCATTAGTCTCATTTATACAGGATGGAGGAAGTCAAGGAAGCCAATTTCCTTGAAGGGTGGATTTAAAAGTCGACACTTTCTTGAGGTCCACCTGATGAAGAGTGAAGTGAGGTCCCCATCTTGCCTCAGATGATGCATCTCTTGTAAGGGACCCTTTGGAAGGCAACTGTGTGCCTCATGAAATTTCTTTGTTCCTACAGTGCCTAGCATGCTATGGTACCACAGTCACACCAGAAAGCAGGTACTCAAATAGAATCTGCTAAACAAAGGAATTGTCATGGATATATAGAAGTTTGTACTTCAGGTTTTTTGTTTTGTTTTGTTTTTGTTTTGTTTTGTTTTTGTTTTTCGAGACAGGGTTTCTCTGTGGCTTTGGAGGCTGTCCTGGAGCTAGCTCTTGTAGACCAGGCTGGTCTCGAACTCACAGAGATCCATCTGCCTCTTCCTCCTGAGTGCTGGGATTAAAGGCATGTGCCACCAATGCCCAGCTGTACTTCAGGTTTAAAATGCACCCTTTTCAAACACCAAAACAATGGAAACACTTTTGAAGTGGATGTTCAGACTTCCAAGGGTCCTTCTTTGATGTCTAATAATCATTTCTGTCATTTCTTAACCAAAAATGTTCTCCAACAATAAGTTATGTTTCTTAAGGGTCTGGGAAGATGGAGTTGAGATCACAAATCTACCACTTCTAACTATACAACCTTGAATAAGTAACTTGGATTCTCTGCCCCCAGTTTTCCCATCTGAAGGCAAGGGTTAGGCAGCACCCATAGACTTGTTGTGAAAGCTAAAGAGTGAAGCCCTGAAACATGGCACCAGCTTCGTACAACGTATTAGGAAACATTAGGCTTGTAATGCACATCTTTAGTTAAGAAGGCAAGAGATGTGTGAACATTCTAGGAAGCCTTGCCCACCTTTTTAAAATAAAAGAAGGGATGTGTTTAAAAGCCATTCCAGAGCTTATATGGGACAACATCAACTATGCACAAACTTTGCTTCTGTGAAAAGGTCTCTTGTCCAAAGTCGCTGTAGAACAATAAAAAGAATTTCTGTGTCTTGAATCAAGCATGCCACCTCACCCACACATGACTCAGCTCACTGCTTCCTTTGTGTGATAACTTATGGTTTTCCAAGACCCAGACAGTGAAATGCCAGAAAACAATCACTCAGCCATTTTGGAAACACAGCCACCCTGGAGAAAGCTTCATGCTAGGTGCCCATTACATAGCTTAGGAGGGCTGTCTTCAGTTGTCTTTGGCATTGTGAACTGAGATCCAAGCTTCTGAACTCTTCAGTAAGAATAGTTAAGACTGACTGTTTCCATGTAAGATATTCAGTTATTCCATCAGGTCATGGGGAATGGCTCTGACCCTGGGAAACAAGCACTTAGTGTCTTATTTCAGTACAGAAGAGGTGACCTACTGTCCTCGGACTACATTTATCTGTTGCATCATCCACAACCTCTTGAAATGGATATAGGTCGAGTTTGTTAGGAGTTTGATTTGTGGTAGAAACTGTACTGAGTATTTCTATTTTATTATTTTAAACTTAATTATGCTCCCAGGAGTAATGAACTGTGGTAGCCATTTCCAAATGAGGAAACCAGAGACACACAGATTAAGTCAGTATAATCCTTAAGAAACATGAAAGGATTTGACTTCAAGCATAATATAAACTTGAGACCTTAAAGAATACAGTATACTATGTTTGCATGTGGCACACGTATGTGTGTGTGTGTGTGTGTGTGTGTGTGTGTGTGTAGTACTTTGTGTGTAGTGTATGCACATGTGTGCATGTATGTGTGCATGCTACATGGAGGTCAGAGAACATTGGGTTGCCACCTCTATCATGTTCCAGTTTATATCCTTGAGACAGAGTCTCTCACTGAATTTGAAACGAGGCCTGCAACCAGCGAGTCCCAGTGACCTTCCTGCTCTGCCTCCCTCAGTGCTGAGGTCGCAGACATGTATGATGCCACATCTAGCTTTTGATATGGATTTGAACTCAAGTTCTCAAGCTTGTGGAACAAGTGTTCTTATCTTCTGAGCCATCTCCCCAGCCTCTTCGTGGAAACTTCTCCACCCATCATGCTGGGTAAAGTAGCATGTCCCAGGGCAATGTTTATAACTCCTCACCCTTCCCTCTTGTCAGCTGCTGAGTGTGCCAAAAAGGAGTCCAATATTGGAAGAATGGCCATGCATAATCCAAGCAGGAACTATTCTTTTTTAAGAAAGAGATTGTATTCTTAACTATGCGTATGTGTTTGTGTCTGCATGTGAGTGTGTGTATATGAAGCAGGCACCTGAGGAGCCTAGAGGCATGGGAACCCCCTGAACTTGGAGTTACAGGCAACTGTGAGTCACCTGATGTGGGTTCTGGGAACTGAACTTGGGTCCTCCACAAGAGCAGTATGCAATCTTAACCCCTGAGCCATCATCTTGTGCATTTCTGGTGCCCATGGAAGCCAGAAGAGTGTGTTAAATCCTCTGGAACTGTATTTACAGATGTTTGTGAGCCACCATGTGGGTGCTGGGAATTGAACCCAGATCCTCAAGAAGAGCAGTCCGTGCTCTTAACTACAGATTCATCTCTCCAGCCCCAGGAGCCACTTTTAATATGAGCAAATAAATTATCCCAACAAATGGTTGTTCCCCAAAAGTCAGTAAATGGAAATATTCTGAAGAGAACAAATTGGTGCCCCCTCATGCCTCCTTCTCTCTGAATTCCTTTGTTATTCACACATCTTTCTACTGGGTTCTCTTTTTCATCATTTTTAAAATTTATTTAAATACCAACCACAGTTTCCTCTCCCCCCTCTCCTTCTACTCTCTCCTCACATCTGTCCCATGCCCTCCCCACTCCATCCACTCCTCCTCCTTCTCCACTTCTCCACTTCTCCACAAAGATGGGGTAAGTTCTTCCATGGGAATCAGCAAAGCATGGCATATCAAGCTGAGGCAGGGCCAAGCTCCTCTCCCCTGCATCAAGGCCATGCATGGCATCATCAAGGCATCCCACCATAGGAAATAGGTTCCAAAGAGCCAGCTCATGAATTAGGAATAGGTGCTGGTCCCACTGCTAGGGGCCCCACAAAAGACCAAGCTACACAATTGTCACCCAGATGCAGAGGACCTAGGTCAGTCCCATCTGACTCCCAAGCTGTCCATCCAGAGTCCATGAGCTCCCACAAGCTCAGGTCAGCTGTCTCTGTGGGTTTCTGCCTCACTATCTTGACCTCACCTTGCTCATATAATCTTTCCACCCTCTCTTCCACTGGACTCTTGGAGCTCAGCCCAGTGCTTGGATGTAAATCTCTGCATCTGCTTCTACTGGAATCTCTTTACTTGAATTCCCTTTGTGGTCTCACAAAACCCAAATCAAAAAACTAAACAAGTACCACCATCATTAACCACCCATTGAAACATTATTTTTCTCAAAGAAATGATGTTAGAAATATGGAAACAAAAGCCAAAGAGTGAAGCTTGTTGACCTCAGTTCCATTGTACTTAATGCTTTTATTTT